ATTGGCACCCTTGTAAAAAAATCACTTGACAATAAATGTGAGGGTTTATTTTTGAACTCTCAGTTCTACTCCATTGATCAATATGTCTATTCTTATATCAGCACCTCACTGTCTTTTTTTGAAATCAGCCTACCTCATGCTTTGAAGTGTTTCACTGTCTTGATTACATCCTTTGTAGTGATGCATGCATCCTCCATTTTTGTTCCTCTTTTTCAAAATTGTTTTGGCTGTTCTGACACTCTGGTATTTTCATATGAATTTTAGAGTCACAGCGTACTGCAAAAAAATGCAGTTGGGATTTTCATAGGGCTTGCATATTGTATCTGTATGTCAATTTGGGTAGTATTGTCATCTTAACAATATTAAGTCTTTTAATCCATAAACACAGGATGTCTTTTCATTTATTACGGTCTTCTTTACTTTATTTCGACAATTTTATTTGACTTTATTTCTTCCTTAATTTATTTCAATGTTTTGTAGTTTGTAGCTTGTGCTTTTTTGTTAAATTTATTTCTAAGTAGTTGATTCATATTGATACCATTGTAAATGAATCTATTTTTAAATTTCATTTTAGGATTCTTCATTGTTAGTGTATAGAACTAATTTTTTTTTTTTAATCTTGATCTTGTATCCTGCTCAATTTCAACCACAGGCTCAGTATAACCTGAGGTTACATTCAACTCCATGGCTGGTGTGGATTTGTAGAAATGTGTTTTGGTGTGCTCTGTTTCTTCCTTTAAGAGCTAAAACCTTGGGATTTCCCCCCAGCCTTGAGGAATGCACACACTTATGAATTAATTCAACCTCCAATTCAATTGTCACATGTTGTCATAGTGATCTTTTGTCAAATGCAGTTCTGAACGTGCTCTAAATGTTTTGAACCCTCATAGACAAAATTATTATTATTATTATTATTATTATTATTATTATTAAAGACGGAGTCTTGCTCTTGTCGTCCAGGCAATTTTGGCTCACTGCACCCTCCACCTCCTGGGTTCAAGCAATTCTCCTGCCTCAGCCTCCTGAATAGCTAGGATTACAGGCGCCCGCCACCACACCCAGCTAATTTTTGTATTTTCAGTAGAGATGAGGTTTCACCATGCTGGCCAGACTGGTCTTGAACCCCTGACCTCAGGTGATCCACCCACCTCAGCCTCCCAAAGTGCTGGGATTACAGGCGTGAGCCACTGCGCCCAGCCTATTTTTATCCAGATTAATTCTTCATTATTTGTTTCCAGTTCTAATCCAAAATATGTCCTTCTTTTTGAGTCCCACCTCCCCTCAACAACTCTTTGATTATAAATTTTCTCCATCAATAACTCTCTTTTGGGGACTCTACACTCTTCACACTCTTCACACATCTTCTAAAAATGTGAACTACACTACTTCCACTTTTTTACCACCCACTCTCTTCCCAGTCTACCACTGTCTGCTTTCTGTCCTCCACCACTCCACTGAAAATATGTGCTCAGTCTTAGTCTAGAGCCCAGAAAAAAAGTCTTGACCAAAAGCAGAGATTTGAGAGTTATTTACTCGCATGGTTTTAACTACCATTTCTATGATGATATCTTCTAAGTGAGTATTTATAGCTAAGGCCTTTTTCCTAAGCTGCAGACCTACTGTATGTCTCCACCTACCTACTGTATGTCTCCATCCTTATGACACACAAGTCCTCCAAACAGGGTCAAAACTGTTGTGTGTGTGTGTGTGTATATGTGTGTGTGTATATATATATGTGTGTGTGTGTATATATATATATATATACACGCTTTAAGATCTGGAGTACATGTGCAGAACATGCAGTTTTGTTACATAGGTATACACGTGCCATGGGGGTTTGATGCACCCGTCAACTCATCAACTACATTAGGTATTTCTCCTAATGCTATCCCTCCCCTACCCCCCCTCACCCCCTGATAGGCCCCAGTATGTGATGTTCCCCTCCCTGTGTCCATGTGTTCTCATTGTTCAACTCCCACTTACGAGTGAGAACATACAGTGTTTGGTTTTCTGTTCTTGTGATAGTTTGCTGAGAATGATGGTTTCCAGCTTCATCCATGTCCCTGCAAAGGACATGAACTCATCCTTTTTTATGGCTGCATAGTATTCCATGGTGTATATGTGCCACATCTTCTTTATCCAGTCTATAATTGATGGACATTTGGGTTGATTCCAAGTCTTTGTTATTGTGAATATTGTCCTCTTCTTATGCCCAGACATAGTGAGTGGTATTACCAAACTACCCAGTAATCCAAATCAGAGAACTAAGACTGTATTCTGGACACCCCTCTACACAGTCTCTCATTCCTGTCAATTCTATATTTTAAATACATTTTTTCACCTCTGTTACTACTGAGTTATTACTACTGGGCCGTGATCACATCTTGCCTTGACTGTAACTGGTGTCTGTGTCTCCAATCTTGTCAACTGTTTCCTCCACTTCCATACATTTTGTACAAGTTAACCAGTGATATTTCTAAAATGCAGATCTGATCACAGCACTCTTCTTTTCAAAATCCTTCAATTCTCCTCTCCAACTGCCTACCACCTGCCACTGTCTTCAGAATAAAATTTCTTAGTATGACTTAGAAAAGTCTTTGAAATAACAGATGCTGACAAGGTTGTAGAGAAAAGGGAACACTTATATACTGTTGGTGGAAGTGTAAATTAGTTCAACCATTGTGGAAAGAAGTATGGTTATTCCTCAAAGAGCTAAAAGCAGAACTACCATTTGACCTACCAGTCCCATTTCTGGCTATATACCCAGAAGAATATAAATCATCCTACCATAAAGACCCATGCACACAAACATTTATTGCAGCATTGTTCACAATAGCAAAGACATAGAATCAACTTAAATGCCCACCAATGACAGATTGTATAAAGAAAATGTTGCATATATACACCATGGAATACTATGCAGTAATAAAAAGATTGAGATTTGTCTTTTGTGGGAACATGGATGGAGCTGAAGGCCATTATTCTTAGCAAACTAATGCAAGAACAGAAAGCCAAAGACCACATATTCTCACTTATAAGTGGGAGCTAAATGATGATAACCTATGAACACAAAGAAGGGAACAACAGATACTGAATTCTAGTTAAGGGTGGAGGCTGGGAGGACAGAGAGGAGCAGAAAAGATAACGATTGAGTGCTGGACTTAGTACCTGGGTGATGAAATAATCTATACAACAAACCATCATGACACAAGTTCACCTATGTAACAAACCTTCACAGGTACCTCTGAACCTAAAATATAAGCTAAAAAAAAATGTGTTTGACTGGACCATGCCCTCTATGTTCTAGATGTGTTGAAACATGAATATATATAGTGGGCAGTCTTCAAATAAGACACACTTGCATTCACTTTAATGGGTTTTCACAGACTCTTGCCATTGCCTGGATTATCTATCCTTCTTCTTCGCCTGGGTAGCTGCTACTTATATTTGAAATGCCTTCCTTAACATTTCCTGGGTTAGGCACATATAAATTCACATAGCATCCTGTGACTTACCCTCTTACAGTGTTGAACACATTGTACTGTCATCATTTTTTCTTCCCATTAGACTATGAGTTTGAGTACTATGATATAATCATATATTTTTTATCTCTAGCAATTTGTACAGTAACAGGAATCAATTAGGTAATCAATATCTGTTGAATGAATGATATGGAATGTATAGTACCATTATTCCCTGATATTTGCATATCTTAACCTGCACGTTATGCACATGTACCCTAGAACTTAAAGTATAATTTAAAATAAAGGACTTAACTCCCATTATAGACACAACCACAACTTTCATTTAACTAAAACTGTTGTAGTATTTCTAGCTTTGATTTTTCCACTTTTAGAGAGCAATAATCAAGAGTAGAGTGAGGTTAAACACTTAAGATTAAAACTTCTGTATGTGATTTTTAAAATACACATAAATGTTTTATTTCTAGTATATTATCTGTAATTCATTTACCAAATGTCATCTATAAGTAGTCAAATAATGTATGATTTTTGAGACCTTATTAGATATTAGGCAGTCTGCTAAATACTAGGGATAAAGAAAAGAATATAATACAGTTTCTGCCCTTAAATAGCTCAAAAACTAATGGGGAATATGGATTTACATATTTTTATAATTCAATGTACTATGCAGTATTGGGGGGAGTGAGTGTATACGAGGTGCTGTGGAAGCAAGTGGACAAAGCAAATGACTGCTTGACTTCATCAGTGAAATATTCTACAAAGAATGTGTTTTTTTATCTAAGCTTGGAAGAACAAGTATGAGTTTTTCAGGTATGTGGGAGTAGGGACCAAAGAAAAGTGAGGGCATAAAGGCAGAAAAAAGAACATGTGTAAAATGTGGAAAGTGTGAAAATGTAGGGAGTGTTTGTGGAACTCCAAGTACCTTGAAATGATTAGAATACAGGATGTTGGGGGGCGAAGAGAAGGCATGGAAAATGAGGTTGGCAAAGAAGGCAGGGGGCAAGCAGGAAAGGCTTTATGAGACATGCCAAAAAATACAATTTTCATCCTATAGGTTACTGAGCACAATTAAAAAGTTTTTACTCACGGAAGTAACAAGATTCTATTTATGTTTTGGAAAGGTCATGTTGGATCCACCATGGAGAATGAATGGTGAAACTTGAGACAGGACAAAACTAGAAATTTATAGTCCACCTAAAAGGCTGTGGTAATAGACAAGGTAAAAGATGAAGGGTGATTGAGCTAAGACAGTAGCAGTAGAGATGGAGACAATTGATGGATTTAAGAAATATGAAGAGCTAACAGATGGGATGTGATAATTGATACACCAAGTGAGGAAGAGAGAATACTCAAGGATCAAGTCCATGTTTCTGTCTTGTATAACTTGGGTGGGTAATCGTCTCTTTTACTGAGACAGATTAGGTTTTCAGTGGATTAAACTGTTAAGTATTTATAGTAAATATACAGTTGAACCTTGAACAATTCTGGTTTGAACTGTGCCTGTCCACTTTTACACAGATTTTCTTCCGCCTCTGCCATCTCTGAGACAGCAAGACCAACCCCTTCTCTTCCTCCTCCTCAGCCTACTCAACATGAAGACAAGGATGAAGATCTTTATGATGATCCATTTCCACTTAATGAGTAGTAAATACATTTTATCTTCCTTATGATTTTCTTGATAACATTTTTTTCTCTAGCTTACTTTACTGTAAGAATACAGTGTATAACACATATAACATGGAATATGTGTTAATCAACTGTTTATGTTATCAGCAAGGCTTCTAGTCAACAGTAGGCTATTAGTAGTTAAGTTTTTGAGAAATCAAAAGTTATACACAGATTTTCTATTGCACATGGTGTCAGTGCTCATAACCCCCACATTGTTAAAGGGTCAACTGTAACTACAAAAGAGGATTCTGAATGTTCTCATCACAAAGAAATGATCATTGTTACATCTGTGTAGTGTGGGAACAAGGAAAAAAAAGAAATGATAATTGTTTGAGGTGATGGATAAGCTAAGTACTCTGATTTGATCATATACAGTGTATACATGTATCACAATATCAAAATGTACCCATTAAATATGCACAATTATTGTGTGTCAATTTAAAATGAAATAAAACTTTGAGAAAATAAATGTCAGATTGATTTAAATATTATGTGTATAGAAGTATTGTCTTCTAGAATACACGATATTACACAATTGCATAAGTAATGGACTTTTTAAATTGTTTTTTTTTTTAAATTATACTTTAAGTTCTAGGATACATGTGCACAACGTGCAGGTTTGTTACATATGTATACATGTGCCATGTTGGTGTGCTGCACCCATTAACTTGTCATTTACATTAGGTATATCTCCTAATGCTATCCCTCCCGCCTCCCTCAACCCCACCACAGGCCCCGGTGTGTGATGTTCCCCATCCTGTGTCCAAGTGTTCTCATTGTTTAATTCCCACCTATGAGTGAGAACATGCGGTGTTTGGTTTTCTCTCCTTGCAATAGTTTGCTCAGAATGATGGTTTCCAGCTTCATCCATGTCCCTGCAAAGGACATGAACTCATCCTTTATAACACTGTTTACATCAACTCTTTACTACAGTCACAATAGGACTGTGATAATAACATAATGAAGCTAATTTTTTTTGTTTACCCTATAAGAATTGGCCTCGTTATTTTATAGAACTGTGAATTTCCTTATCTTTTGAATGATTGACAGGTCTGGTGACAACACAAGTAGAACTGCTAGCTGAATAAGTCTTATTTTATTTAGTAGAAGAATAGCTGTTTTAACATCTAGTATATCTTTGAGTGGGTATTATCTAAGATATTCTGCCTTCGATGTTGATAGTTTTTTGATAATACATTTGCCAGTGATTAATCTTAACACAGTTATTTTGCCATTTGGTGGGGAAAAAAAGCAATATTGAGTTCCTTGAAAAATAGGACCATAGCCTTTATCTAGCTGTGTTAGACGCCAAAGTGTGTGAATTAACCATCTGTAGATAATCATGAGATTCTAGCATTATTACTATTGCTATTTTATTTTTATGTCAGATGACTATGACTTTATCTTATTCAAACAGGATAGATCCTATTGGATAAGGACATTATTTATTAGAATAAAACTTTCTAATAAATTGTTTTAGAGAAAAAACATTTTTGATATACTGATTTTTATTTCTAGTTTTTCAAATTTTGTGTATCCTATAGCCTACATTATTTTGTCCTTAGCTTATTATAACAAATGTAGGCAGTATGGGTCAAATGTAGCTGTGTTATAACCATAAATTCAAATAAATACATTTTGAAATAATTTTATTAAATATCAAACTGCAATAACTATACAGACTGAGAAAGTATATTATAAAAGAATATGTTTAAGCATGAATTAATGCTCAAATTTTTAAGCTTTTATATTTCTAAAAAGGAGCTTGACAATCATATTTTTCAATTTAGTAATAGATTAGTATGGGAATAAATTAGAACTCACTAGCAAAGAAATTATTAAAGAAGAGACAAGAAGTTTCTTTTTCTGTGCATTTACTTATTGAATGCGCCCATTAGCCATTCTGAACATGCTGTATTGCTAGCAGTTGTCTCACTCCAATTGTGAAATATCCATATTAGAGCAATGAATACCAACTGAATATCAAATCTTGCCAAGTAGTATTCATAGTCTTGTGTTACAGATGTCTTGCTATGCATGATTCTGAAAACTCCATATATTATTCAAGTGGATATTAGCATCAATTTCACAGAGAATTTATATCTGAGAGGGGAGGTTTTAAAATAGTAGATTCACAAGGTGGCTCCCTTTTGGGATGCCACGTAGCTGTTAGGAAATCTTATGTGATTACGTTTAAGCCTTTAACTGTGGAGAAGCCGAAAACTGTTCCACACGTACTCAGAATTCACCACGTTACAATACTGGAATGTGGAGGTAGACTTTTTAATACAACCATATTGCCACATCAAAATTTTGTCTGCTTCAAACAGGGACCTTCTCTGCAACAAGTTTTTTGGGAGTCATGCTCATAGAACCAGGGATAGCCTGGCATAGTGGCACGTACCTGTAGTCTCAGCTACTGGGGAGGATGAGGTAGGAGGATCAGTTGAGCCCAGGAGTTTGACTGTTGGTATGGAAACATAGTAAGAAACACATCTCTTAAAACAAAAATAAAATAACCAGGGATAGAAGAAAGTTTTAAGAGAATATTCCAGCAAATTTAACAAATAAAACTTCACAGTTCCTGTGTTTGGCATATATAACTAAAAATTTGCAGCATGAAAGAATTTAGTATAAGTTGATAACTTTAATGGCTAAATTACACTTCTGTGTGGGTGAGCTAATTGTGTGATCAAAAATTTATTTTGTTCATTGAAATACAAAATCCAAGAATATTGTGGCCAATTTGGTAGCCACATATCAATGTAGATAATGCTTTGTCTTTAATTCAGTATGAGAACTAGAAGTGAGAAAGGAAAAGAAGCACTGTTTACTAGATACAACTGTTCTTTCATTCGATAATATTAATTGAGCATTCACAAGGTGCATAGCACTCATACAAGGATGAAGAAATATCGAGATGAATGTATCCTGATTAAGAAATTTCCAATCCACATAGAAAATTAATGAAGATATTTTTTGCAAATATTTTAGATCTCTTTTTTCAAAAGTATGGCTTTGGGTATGCAGTTTTTTTAGAGAGAGATGAAGTATTTCTCTGTTGCCCAGACTGGAGTGCAGTGGTGCAATCATAGCTCACTATAGCCTCAGACACCTGGGCTCAAGTGATCCTCTCACCTCAGCCTCCCAAGTAGCTGGGACTACAGATACAAGCCACTGCACCCAGGTGCAAACATTTTTAAGAAAGCTATCTCTACATAAAACAGTTGTAGCTAACTGATATTATGATTATTTTTCTCTAGAGATTTCCTTTAATAGATTTAACTATTTTTACTTCTTACCATCACTTAACACACATACACACCACACACCTTTTCCCAACTTTTTTAAGTCCTCACATGTCTGCACATCTCACCTCACTCATACATGTCTAAAAGGACCCTTAAACTCCATATTAGCTTGAAAGTTAGCAGTTAATTATTTTTATGGAAAGTAAAAACAAACAGGGTAACATATTTCCACCCAGCTAAAATTTTTTTTTGAATTTTCATTTGTATGCTATGGCCAAATATCTTATGTACAGCATAAGATATTTTTAGATGAACATAGAAACTTTTTTATTTCTGTGCTAATTTGTTTCCTTTTTACAATTATAGAGTAGGGATGAGAGGCTTCCAGGAGAATTTAAAAGGTTTAGAACTTAAAAAAAAACATTAAAGAGAAATTAATGAAAATTCTTCTCATACTATTCCCCAAACACTTTTTACAAGGCAGGAACTCTTCCTAACTGATTTTACGAGGCCAGCATAACTCTGATACCAAACCAGACAAGGACACAACAAAAACAACAACAACAAAACTGCAGGCCAATATTTCTGATGAACATAGATGCAAAACTCCTCAAGAAAATACCAACAAATGAAAACCAACAACATATCAAAAAGATAATACACCGTGATCAAATGGAATTTATCCCAGGAATGTGAGGATGGTTCAATATATGCAAATTAATAAATGTGATATATTACATTAACAGAATTAAGGACAAAAACCATATGATCATCTCAATAGCTGCAGAAAAGGCATTTTATAAAGATCAGCGTCCTTTTATGATAAAAACTGTCAATAAATTGGTTATAGAAGGAAAGTACCTCAACGCAATGAAGGCTATATATGATAAACCCACTGCTCAGAATGGGGAAAAACTGAAATCTTTTTCTCTAAGAACTGAAACAAGGTAAGAATACCCACTCTCACCACTCTTATTCTACATAATACTGGAAGTTCTAACCAGAGCAATTTTAGGCAAGAGAAAAAAAATAAGGGCATCAAAATTGGAAAGTCTGTATTTGCAGATGACATGGTCTTATATAGAGAGAAACCTAAAGAATCCACTAAAAAATGTTAGAATGAATAAAATAATATACAGTAAAGTAGCAGTATACAAAATCAAAACTCAAAAAGGTATAAGTGTTTCTGCACACAAACAATGAACTAGCTGAAAAAGAAATCAATTCAGTCCCATTTACAATAGCTACAAAAATTATTTAGGAATAAACCAAAACTACAAAACACTGATGAAAGAAACTGAAGAGGATACAAACAAATGGAAAAATAGCCCATGTCCATGGATGAGAAAACTTAATATTGTTAAAATGACCATACTACCTAAGGCGATCTATATAATCAAATTAATCTATATCAAACTACATGTGACAGAAAAAGGTGGAGCAAGATGGCTGAGTAGATAACACACCAGAACATCAAATTGTACAACTATCCACAAACACAAAAAGCACCTTCCTAACACCCAGAAATCAGGTGAGCAATCACACTACCTGGTTTTAACATCATATTAAGGAAAGAGGCACTAAAGAGGGTAAGAAAGACAGTCTTGAATATCCTGCACCACACATCCAGAATTCCTGCAGCAGCTACCACATGCTGAAGAAAGAAAATCTGTTTACTTGGGGGAAAGAGACCAC